ACGGGTTCAATGCCGGGTCACACAGGAGAAAAATAAATACTTTGAGCTATTTCAGAACCCGTACTTCAAGTTACCGTCCCACTTACCTCTTTTTTATCAACAAGATAAAACTAGTTTATTTATTATTTTTCATACATAGCAAAAACTATCCTCTTTCTGTTAATACCACACTCAGGATGTGAAACATGTGAAAGCCACTAATCCAAAGGGAACTAAATTTGATTTTCTTACGTGCCGTTAATCATTCGATTTTATTTCATCATATTTTATTGAGTAAACAATAGGATTGAACAGCAGGCTAGGCTTATATAAGTTCTCTCCTTAGGTTGATATGACAAAGACAAAGATGGATGAAATGGTTTGTAAGAAAATATTGATGCAAATTATATATAATAAGTACCATAGACATATATATATATAGCAGATGGTATAGGGGAGATAATTCCATGTATGTTTCAATAACATGTAAATCTTTAATTGATATTTTTAGCTATACAATGCTCATATTAAAAAGTCAATCGTAACCAATTAGTAATAGGAAGCAATGCTCTAATGATATATTAAACAGAGAAATTGCTACAATTGTATTTTTTGGCCAGTCATTAATGCCCCCTGTTCATACCCTGCTGCTGTTGCATGAAGTATTTAAAGTATAGGACCATTTAGTATCAATATATATATCATTGGTAGGAGTGATAAAAAGTAAGGGATACAACAACATCAAAATATGGAATGATAAAATGAGGCAATTCAGCTAGAAGATTTTGAAAATGTAGTATATGTGTATGATGTATTGCTAGTGTTCTATGAGTAAATATTTCATCCCTTCGAGTTTCAGACAAAAAGTCTCTAACGGCCTTTACCGTTCACATATCATCCACTCGAGATTCAACCACAGAACAATAAGCATTCAAACTTAGCACATTTATGAAGAAGCTTAATACCTTAGGTGTATAATATTAAAACATCAATGTATATATAACAATCAGTAGAATCACATAATGGTTTAAGGACAGTATTTTATCAGTTATGACTATATATAACAAAATTTATAGATTGTTTTGATTAATTAAACAAGTCTTCTTGTGTTGTATATATTTTTAAGAACACTTCAAGTATAGATTTATTTTCAGTATTGTTTAACATAGTGCTTCCATTAAGAAGTATTTAAGTATTAAGATTAACCGGACACACTTAAAAAATATCATTTATTAAAGTTTGTCTCTCATCAGTATACATTGGACATTGAGAAAGATAATGTGTAGCAGTTTCATAAGCATCACCACACAGACAAGATGGATACTCTTTCAAGAGATCTTTGAACTGATCATAGTTCAGGTTACTCGTCTCATTTCTCAGTTGACATAAGATTATGTTACCCTTTCTGCTTTCACAATTTTTAAATACATCCGAGATATCATTATTAAAACATATTTTATTATATACCTTGGCCTTAAATTTATTAAGAGTAGGGGAATGTACTATATCATTTTCAAGTCCATTGAACTTGTTGCACATTACTGGGAAGAAACTTTTTGCATTGGATTCTGTACGACATAGTGGTGGGTTAAACATACTTACATTTTTTAGGGTATACCTATCATTTTCTGGGTTATGAATAAGAGGATCAATTATGTCATGGAGGTATGTCGGTGATAAATTGTTAGTTATTTTATACATCTGAATTAGCTTATGGTTCACCTTTTGATCAGACAGAGATTCCCAACCTAGTTCTTTATATAGAGTTTGGTGTGATGTACCTTTCCTAAGACCTGTGATAATCCTTGCAGCTTCTAGTTGTACAGATTCTAATATTTTTTTAAGATTGTCGGAGCAGTTGTCCCAGACAATATCTTCATATTCAGGCATTGGGCGGATAAATGTTGTATATATTTTGCATAGTGATTTCTTATCAATCTTATATTTCAGATACCTAAGCATGTTTATTCATTTACTAGCCTTTTCATATATTAATTGACCATGGGTAGACCAAGTGCCATCTTCAGAAAAAGTTAATCCAAGATGTTTGTGATCATGGGCATTATCTACACAGGTATTGGAGAAATTAATTAGAGGATGTATAGGTTCTTTTTTTCTAGAAAAAAATAGTGATTTGGTTTTAGAGGGGTTAAATTTAATGTCCCATGTACTAGCCAAGTTGTTAGTTATATAAATATTTGAATGTAATTTTTTCCAAGATTTTACTAAAACATGATGTTACAGATATTGGTCGATAATTGGAATAATTATTTTTTAAACCATTCCCTTTGTATACAGCACTAACATTAGCCATCTTCCATGGCGCAGGTATGCACCCGTTAGATATAGTTTTGTTAAATAAAATTGTAAGTGGGAGTATTAAGGAAGGTTTTAACTTTTTTATGACTTTAGGTAACATGCCATCAGGTCCTGCTGGTTTATTTTCATTTAATATAGTAATTTGATCATCAACATCTTGCTCAGAGACTATTATGTTTTCTAACTTTGATAGAGTGGAGATATCTAATACTGGAGGTTCAGCAAGTGTATCTGATGTTGTGGCTATAGAAGTAAAATATTCATTAAGGGCTTCAGATTTATCAGTTGGATGTTGAATCAGTGTATTATTAACATTCAATGGTGGAATCGGTTCAGTTTTATTGTTAAAATTAGTTATGAATTTAGCAATTTTCCACCATTTATTAGGGGGCAATGATTTATCACTTAGAGACTTTTGAAGTTTATCAAGATAATAATGTTAGCGTCTCTAACCAGATTAATAACAGCTTTCCTTATTTGTTTATATTTATTCCAATGCTCTATTTTGTCAGTATGTCTGGCTTTCTTATGTTTCCTATTTATTTGTCTCATCTTTAGTCTAATATTGGTATTCATCCATGGCTTGTCATCAGGTCGGATTGTAATAGTTTTACTAGGAATATATTTTGTCAGGTCAGTTATAGATTTAGTTAAAAACATACTAAATTCATGGGTATCCATATCAGCAGCAATTAAGTTCCAGTCAATAACATTTAGTTCGTCATTCATAATATTATAATCAGTATTGTATTGTACAGTCTTTGTATATGCTTAGCATAACAAACTTATATATATATAGGTAAGTGGTCACTACAGAAAGCAGGGTCAACATGTGTATTTTTCACTATAGAAGGATTATTCGATCATTTAAAAGTCACGCATGCCCCACGGGGTCCCTTTAAAATGACGATATTTCCCGTCAAATTTTAGCACGCTTCTTCTTTTATTACTATCATTTTTTTTGTTAATAATACTTCTTAAGTCTAAAGTCCTTTAGCATACCAATTGACGTAATTAATCGATCTTTATCAACTAAGATGAAAGCAATTAAATTCATAAACATTACTTCAGAACCTGTCTAACACGTTGTGTTGTTTGATAATAACCCTGACTCAATTGAAAACATAGTCGCTATTCGTTGGATTTTGCTCTCGTAGCATCTCGTGAATTCGCGTATGCATGGCAATAACGCAAACGTGGCTTCAACCCTGCGCGCAGTCAGATAAGTAGCCGTCTCACACTTATACTTGACATACATTTTAAAATCATTTTCATACTTCTAGGGATGCAATGTTTTTGTTCTGTTTGACCTCACACAAACTACACCACCAACACGTGAGGAGCGGATAACACAGTGGTTATGACGTCACTGAGGCTAATACGTCCTCAATGATAAAAGTATCAACATATCGATAAATCGAGCTATCGGGGTATATACCTTGATTCACAAAGAGCATATTGATGATTTGAGATAACCCAATTCAAACTAGACAGAGAGAAAGTCGGTAAGATACGCAATACCAACAATATCAAACATTTTATAAATACAGCAAAGTATCAAAGCTATATGTTACCTACATATATGTAATATGTATCTGGATCCTTGTCGTACAGCGATATCAGTGGTAGTGAGACAAAATTGATAATAATGATTTTTATGATTTCTGAAAAACGTTCGTGACAACGTTGGCTTTGTACTATAATACACGTACATGCATTGTATGATCAGTTCTGAATATAGATATCTACATCTTAGTCAGGATTCTAAAACCAGTCAAAGTTACCTTGGAAGAAATCGTGACTACGTAATAACTGGACACAGACTATCACGTCACCCATTTTAGGTCCCGGGACTCATTCATTTCAAACCCCATAAGCTTTTAGTCATTCCACAAATTGCTAAATTAGAAAGTGTCTAAAGGAATTATGAATATGGTGTATAAATCATGAAATGGTTATGACTTTCAACTGAGGAACATGCGCATAGTTTTGTGTTTTATGATTGATAGAGTGAATTTATCACACAACATATTCTCTCAGGATCGCCTTACTGAAGATGATGGAGTACTAGTACTGCTGGTCTATACGTGTGCTATTCTGTTACATTTCTCTACCTAAGAAACATACAGTTTTTATGACGTCGCATGGAATCAATAATATGACTTCTAACGCGGGTTGTGCAATGGCCTGGTAAAAAAGGTATACGAAACTCCATTAGAAAATCGGGTCAAATTGTAGGGAGTTACCTCTTCTGCATCAAGAAATTACGATTGCCCGTTGGAATGACGATGGTATGTTGGAATAACGATTGTCTGTGCAAATAATTTTCGAAGAAAAAAGATAAACCAAGCCTTTGAGAAGTTATTAAAGTGATGGTCTACAAAAATGAGAAGCAAACATTTTAACAGACGATAAGATAAAATAATGACAGTATTTCAGGATACACCAGGACTTCTTAGGAAATCAATCTATTCCCGCAAAGTAAGCTGGTGTCGCTTCGTGGATAGGCTTTACTCCATCTCCAGGTATAGTGATAGTAAAATGGTATAGGATTTGGATAGTAGCGTAGTTGATCAAGAAAGGGATTTTGCAATAAACTGATGCCTACACATACTCTTTATGATCTTTTCACGCGTGAAATATTTGTCGCAATTACTTAATTGTATGCCGTTCGATTTCAAAATTCAAAACAGACACCATAATGACATTTTACTATATTTAATACACAGAAAGTTGAGTTGAGTTCATAAACGGCCATCGTGTGTATACAACAGGATGCTGCTGAATAAAGACATCACGTTTAGCTGTTCTTGAATTGTCTATTTACAAATTCAACACAGTTATCTCCCCTACAACGTACACAATTCGGGATCTTCAGACAACATTCTTTGTTTATCTATAAATTAAACACAGTTATCTCCCCTACAGCGTACACACTTCGGGATCTTCAGACAACATGAATTGTTTATTTACAAAATAAAAACGTCTATCTCCCCTTAAGTTTACTCACATCAGATCTTCAGACAATATATGAATTGTCTATTCACAAACTATACAAAGTTGTTTCCCCTACAGCGTACATAGATCGGGATCTAACCGATGACACACAGGTACAGGTATCTCCCCTACAGTGTACCCTGACTTGTCTTCGGACACTATGATGAACTGGGCAACAGTATAGTTGACAAGAGCGTGATCCCACAATGTACATCTAGATTAAGGGACGCTGCCGCCGGTGTTTGTACCAGACAAGCCTTTAATCTCAAACAAAGAGACGGTTCCACTGGTCGACGATGTACTCACTAACAGTGAACGGTTGTTTGGACTCTCATTTGCAGGAATATATCTGTAAAATTAAAGGATGCATTTTCATGTGTAAAAATGTACTTCACTTGATTCGACAATCAGATGGAGATATACATGTATAATCAATACTGTTATTCAGCTACTCCTTTATTACAGTTAAGTGTATCCACATGCGTCTGATTATTCTAAATAATGGAGTACATATATATTATTTTACAATTACATTAACATGCCTGAATTATGTCTATAGAAGAAAAAAAAATATTAAAAGGTGCTTTCGTCTATTTCCTTCAATTTATGTTTTTTTATGAAGTACTGTTTATATTTGCAAATTTTGTACAAATAAAAAACAGATTCTAGAACAAATAATCCTTCTATGCAACGATAGGGAATTATTATCGGGGACACGAAATTCATTAGAAGATACCAAGCTCCAAGTCCATCATTGAAATCACTATAACCACTGAGTAATTTCGTGATGAAGTGACATTTTCTAAATAATTTCTCCAACTGTGAGTTGCCCTAACTTGAACAAGAATGGTTGCCTTGCAACGTATTCAACGATAACCTTACTATCAGCACCAGTACTGTTAATACGGTTCACCGCCCTCACCTGAGATCATCAGGTCCTATGTCACTGATGAGGCGCTGGTCGTACAGATTCCCAAACGTGTCGTTTGTTCTAGTTATTCCACTCCACAGACTCTCGAACCGTATAGTACTGACGTCACCAGGTATGGAGTACACGGCGATCAGGCCGGGCCTTTCTATACCAACAAATATTACTGTGGTGTTACCATCCTGAACAACGGCTAGACTTTCAACTTCTGGACCCTACAATGAAACAATGTCGAAACTGCAAATCATTAAGGTAATTGCAAACATCCTTTCTGAAGCATCTTGTATAACAGTATATATCCATGTGTATATTATTTGACCCTATAAATAGTATATAGATAATACTACGTATAGTATAATTATCGATTACGGACTTTTTTAGGTAAATACAGGTATATTGTTTAATTGATCTCAGAAAGCGATATTGGTTAATACGGGTCACGAATAAATAACAAAGAATTTAATCTGTACCAAAATAATTAGATCATATAAACATTATTCAATTAAAAAAAAAAAAAAAAACAATAACTCAATTTGAATATTAGTTAAAACACACCTATACGTTAAAAAATAGATATATTTATGCATTTCGCATTGTATTAACCTAATATCACTTTTCAGATCATTAATACACATAACCACTGAAACAAAATTAAACAGTAATGCATGAAGCAGAGGGTATTATAACTGTTCCACTGAATGGCCATAATAAAGAGATAATTTATCTGATGTTTCGAAAATTATACCACCAAGTAAATATCCAAAATCATCGACTTCGTCGTAGTTATTATCTAACAGATTAAGATGCAGAAAACGTGTGTCATCTTATATTACCCTATATACAGTAAATCTAAATATTATCACAGTACATAGGCCTATAAACCCTTATTAGTGTGTATAATGTTGTCTCCGCTATGTATTTTTTAAGTACCTAAGCCTCTATAAAGTGTTTATAACCCTGTTTTAAGTTGTTATAACCCCTAAATCGTTAAGCTTGGTCACGCACCTTAGCATCCGATCGCGAATCCTTGGACTCGGATACGACAGATGTTTGAGATTTTCCGTTAGCATTGAACAGTCCACTGTATTGCTGTGCAATCTTTTCCTCTATTTCACTTCCGCTGTCGTACACCTGGTTAAACGTGCTGACGTCATATAATGATATGCTTCTTCCACCGAATGTATATAGATCGTCATACGCATCCCCATGCTTCCCTTCCAGGTTACTGACCATCAGACGCCCTGTAGATGATAATTACATCAACATTTATATACATGAGCGTAGGTACAAATCACACTGACATATACGGATTTGTACAGCAAAACATTACTTTATTTTCAATAAAAGATAGTATTTTAGTGCGAAAATAGCACAAAAATGTCACAATATAACAAATATCAACCTCATTTTCACCATTAACCGTTAATTTACAGTTAAAATGTAGAATGCTACATGTAGAAGTTTATATATGTATATGTAGCCACTCACAATATTATTCTATATTATGACCGACACATTAGTGTTCAACAGCATGCTATTCTGAAGGCCAAATAGTAAACGTGAAATGTATTTTGCGAAAATTGCTACAGACGTGCATACGGCGAAAGTGATCACTGGAAAATGTTTTTACCATGCGTTATATAAAATTGTCGTTAACGTAAGGTTTTAAATTGTTTTTCAATGTCCGTATATGTTATCAATATAGTTACATTAGGAGACATTTGGTATGACGAATTTATCACGTCTAGTGACTATCTTTAATCAACAAGAGAAAGTGGGAGATATATATAGTCCTAATGTAACAGCAGTTTGACAAATTGGACGTGTGGAATTAGAAGCCAAGGAATAACCCTCGTCGTTACATATTTGCCGATGACGTTTTATTTCAATCCATGTCTTCAAAACATTTATCATGCAAAGGATTAAATATTTCACGGATAGACAGATGAAGTTCATACAAAAATACTAAATGTTAACGACAGTCGTGTGAATAGCAGGTCATTGTTATCTTATTATACTGTTCTTGTCTTATCCAAGATACACAAAATTTGAAGTCATTCGTTCAAAACTAAACGTAGGTCACAGATTAAGGTCATACTGACCTACTTATTGTACAATGCATGCCTGTTTCCGAAGGTTTTGCATGACATTAATGTTTGAGCATTCGCACTAGACTGTAATATTGTCTGAAAAGTACATAACTCTTAAGATTATGAATTTAATTCGTCCTTTTCACTGACTTTGTTTCCTAATATACATAAGATGGACAGAAATCATCAAAATTAAATTGTTAATCTGGTTGGTCTCTTTCTGAATGTAACCAATCAGGTTGAAATATGCTAATTAGAAAAACATAAAATTTGTTCGTCGTCAAATTTGACATAAGTCTTTCTATTATGTACCAGTTTATTAACTTTCATTTTAATCTTATTATATGAATTATGAAGTGGGATATACGTTTTAGTAAGGTTATAGAATGTCGCCATCCTCTAATACGTTCCTGCTGACTGAATTTGATAATATGTAAGAACGTTATCGCGTAGACACGATGTCGTTTAACGGACGATGACACGATGTCGTTTAACGGACGATGACACGATGCAGAAAAAAAGTGTAATATATGCACTATTGAAATATCCTTTATGGGTGATATTATAAATAACATACAGTTCATATATTTGGCTATTTTCTAGAAGGAATACACACAGAGTGTATCGAGACAGTTTCAAACATCTTGAAACAAGCAATTAAGATTAAGTAAGTACAAATTTAAAGTTATATTATTGCACTTATTCCACAAAACTTTGAGTAGGATGGTACTAAGGTATGTTAAAATAGGTCAAAATATAACGGCTTGTCTTACCAAGATTTTTGTCGGTTTGAAGGTTCCACATAAATCCGTTGTTTGCGGCCCAATATGAAACAGGCGCATCCAGGTCTATGTGATCTAAGGAACAATTGAAGCAAACGAATATACACTGTTCAGTCTGTTCATGATATTTTCATTATTAATCTTTGATAACAAATATAGTTTAATATATATTGTTTACATATAGATATATATTAGATAAAAGTGGATGAGGGATATTATTACTTTAATTCTTTTAACTGATATTTATCGAAATGATCAAGAAAATATATCAAGATATTTGTGGGTTTTCAAAATGATTATGTTTTGTTCATAAAGATGTCTCAGTTTTTACATATCCATTATCAACCCCCTTTATTTCCCTAAACGTAACACTTAAAACTACTATCAGGACATGTTATTAAGCTATTGGAACACTCAATCTACATATACAAGAAGTGTGAAAAAATTCAACACGATACGCAATTAATATCTGATACATGATACATATAATTGAAACGACTTTTTTTTCAAAACCCCCAAAAAAATATAAATATGCATTTTTACCGTCTATGGTGAGGTCGGCCACTCTTGACTCCTCGTTGAAGCCGCCTGATCCCACGATATCCGAGTAGTCCTTGGCCCTGCCCTCGTTGGCTGTGAGAAGATAGGACTTGTCCCCGATGGTTATAAATTTGATGGCATCTGGCTGGTACATACCCATCACTGGCCACTGACGTATGTTAACCACTAGAATACAAAGCGATGTAAGTATAAATCTACTGCCAACATAATATAACATGACGTATATTTGTATGTATTTATTTATTTGTTTATTCATCTAATTGTTTATTTATGTATATGTTTATTAATTAATTTATTGTTTTTTTTATTTGTTTATATATTTATTTTTCTTGGCGAAATTATTTATGGTATAATATTTATTTACATCTTTACAAATTATAACGTTTAGCATATATCGCACTATCTGCAATAATTTACGTTTGATCTTACGGATTCGGTATTCTAAAATAAATAGAATTATATCAAATCATTATTAAAATATAAAACAGAAACCGTTCTCGTTGTTCTAATATATACAAATTATCACACGTAATATTGAAAAAGAATAGTTTACTGTTGTCTCTATCGCTGACATCGAGCTTTGAGTTGGTCCAGTTCTTATATCCAAGTGGATGGATGTCTGTAATTTCAAGAGTGGCCATGTCCACCTCAGCTATAGCATTATTCTCCTGTAAAGAAGATCCAAAGGTTTATGAAATATGTTGCATTCCAATGTCATATAACAAACAAGGCAATGCGAGCTACGGGTGGTCAGGAAGTGCAGTAGATAGCGCACTCCCCTTCCACCAGACGGCCAGGGTATTCCAATGTCATATAACAAACAAGGCAATGAGAGCTACGGGTGGTCAGGAAGTGCAGTAGATAGCGCACTCCCCTTCCACCAGACGGCCAAGGTATTCCAATGTCATATAACAAACAAGGCACTGAGAGCTACGGGTGGTCAGGTAGTGCAGTAGATAGCGCACTCCCCTTCCACCAGACGGCCAGGGTATTCCAATGTCATATAACAAACAAGGCACTGACAGCTACGGATGGTCAGGTAGTGCAGTAGATAGCGTACTCCCCTTCCACCAGACGGCCTGGGTACGATTCACCGACTGGACGTGGAAAGGTGTTGGATCACCTGCTCGAGCTTTTCTCCGAGTACTCCATATTTTTCTTACATTAACACCCTCTTTGTGTTTCCATTTGGGCTAACAATTATGTTTTATTTAGCGTGATATATTTCAGATATAACATTATTATGTCTCCATTTTACATTTCACTTCCTTTAACAAACGTATTTGTTAAAAAGTTACACATGTACAAATTCTTTAAAGCTATATTGGCATACATTAGTCCGACTCATTTTCATGGCATACTAAGAAGCGTACTTTTCGTTGCAGTTAAAAATCATCATAGTTTTTGTCGAATTCGTAAGTTATCAATGCTACTTCGCCGCCATTCATCCAATGACGTTAAATAAATCTTGACTTTCCCATAGTTCGATGAAATATGAAAACCATTGAGATCGGGTTTCGTCAGAGTATGTAATAGAAATAGTTGAGATCTGTATGAATCCGCGTCCAGGAATCAGGTTCTTATTTTAATTTACTTTTTTCCATATTTCGCTGAAAATAACAGTGCCTCCCTAAACGTTTAAATGCTGTTCTTATAGCAAACATGAAACAAAGGATAACTATAGAAAGAACCCCCAGGTTTAATTTGAAACCGTTTACAGATTCTCCAAAGCTAAAACAGATGTAGACCAACAACACATCGTATGGCTTGAAGTGTAGGATAGAGGAATCGGAGTAGTAAGGTATATCTACCTGTAACGCTATGTACGCGACGCTCTCGTCCTTGTTAAATGTGATGTACTCCGGCTCCACATCATTAGAGAACGAGTTGTTGTTCTCCCTGTATATAAACCGAACTCCACTGGATACCAGTTCCTGCCATCTAAAATGGAAGAGAATAATTAATTATTTGGATTTTATAAAATCTTGTCCATTACCATTCATTCCGATTGATTGTTTACGAAATTGTTATCAGCATTTAATCATTGAAGCGTTATTGCGGAATAACTTACATATTATCAAACTTTTTAAAGTCAAGCTTAGTATATTGGTACGATCCGCCTATTCCAGCTGCCTCGGTGAATCTGATTATCCCTACAGCACCCTCGGGATCGACGAAATCGGAACCGTTATTGTACGGACTCCCTTCCATGGCGACGACCACAGTTCGGCAATTAGAAGTAGCCTGGATCATTTCTGGCTTAACACCAACTGCAAGGAAGAAATAACTTCAAATACAGAAGGTTGAACTTGAATGACTATCGTAACTTCATTCTAATGTAGCAAACAAGTAGGTATTGTAATTACAATTCAGCTCGTCAAAAAAACCAATACATTACGAGCACGAGGTATTTCGTGCTATAGAAAAGGTGCCCACGTAGTAACACGTGAACACATGAGGATAACACTGCAGCTCGAATGCTACATGAAAAGACAACAACAACAGTTTGGGATAGTTTACCTGTGATGTTATGCACTAGGACAAGCATCTCGGTTGGTGCATGCTGTATTTGGTATACTTCCACTCGACCAGTGTTTTTGTCACCAGTCATTGCAATAAACAAATAGTCATCACAAAATTCGATGGCCCTCAGTTTGGCGTAGAAGAACTGGTGCTTGGACTCAATAGCTGGATGAGTGACGTTCGAAATGTCGATTACATGGAGGTATTCGTGCCCTGGAGACGGAAAAGATAAGCATACAGCCTCGTCATTATTATTGACGCTCAATAGGGATGTCAACAAACCCCTGGGGTATGTCTTTGACTCCCTCAAATGAACTTTGACTCTTGGATTTAAAACGATAGATCTCTTTGACATGCATTTTCACCTTTCACTTTTCAGAGAAAAGGAAAATTGTCTTGTGAAATTTCTAAATGTCAAGGGTCAAATGAAAGCCCTACTCAACATCAAAGGTTATAGATAGAATGGCTTACTACAAGCGGTATACACAAAACGAATTAAATGTTCAAATAATAAATGTAACGAACCATCTTCATTAAAGTGATATTACATACAAAATCAAAACAGCATTATTTTATCCTCGAATGTATATAGATAGAATGGCTTACTACAAGCGGTATTAACAAAACGAATTGAATGCTCAAATAAGAAAAAATGAAGTAAAATATCATTAAATTCTTGTCGTCTTACATCAAAACACAGAAGTGTATACAGTCCGTTTAATTCAGTTACGAAATTAAGAGAAGGCAATATGTACATATACATTCCAGCAGTATCCGGTCATGACAAAATGACTTTCGCAATTGGGTATTTGTAGAATTTATAATGAAGAAATAGAAACTTTGAATTAACCATATTTGTCAAACGCCTGAAACCAGAGATATTCATTAGAATAATTATAATAATAATAATATACAACATTTGATATAGCGCCCTATCTACCTAGAATAAGCTACTCCAAAACGCTTCAAAATAAATAGATTCGTGCAATTGTAATTATTTGGTCGAAAATATTATTTTCTATGTGTTTCTTCTATAATTGAGCAATCACCAAACTTAAAGCTGCGCGTGTTTACAATTGCACGATTGTGTATATGTTAATTCAGTATCATACAGCTGACATACCCGCACTGTCATCGTCATTAAAGTAACCGATTTTATTTTTGCCGCAATATTTGCTGAAGGCGTTTCCTAGCACACAGGAAAATGCATTTAAATAACGTATACATTGAATTAAGCTTTTTTGTATTCATATTCATAAAACGGATACTTCAAGAATACAATATGTAGTAAATCATAATGATATTTGTGAAATTCAAGGCTCTGCGGGTTCACAAAAATCCTGTTATTAAAGGTCATTTCTCATAGTAATAATCATAATAATTCGAGGTTCTTATATACCACTTTATCACAAACTAATAGGTCGTCTCAAAGCGGTTCACAAATTATTATCCGTGGTTATAGGACCTTTGCAACCAGCCAATATCTTTCTCAACTCCATGGGGAGCATACAGCCGTCGCTGCCATTTCGGCGCTCACAGCTAGCATTCTACAATTCTAGCACTGCCCAACCACGTACTCATTTACAGCTTATAAAGGAAATATATTTTCCGTTAACAGTTTATCAATTTTTTTACATTGTTCTCAATATAATGTTACACATTTGCCTCCATCAGTCAGTATTTTTCTCAATAAAGGTTATGAACCCCCACCATATTTCCTAATGTCAGCAATTATAGTAGATACATGTATCTTAAACCTGATCTTATTTCGGTGGTTTTTTTCAAATTCTGTTTATATGCAAGTATCATAATGGTCTACCATATAATTTTAAAACAAATAACTTTTTGTCCTTTTATCAACCAACATACCTATGGCGTATACAGTGGAATCGTGTTCATCGTATGTCGACATGACGGCAGCATCTTTGTCGTACATGTACTGTCCGACTCCGTTTACGTAAGTGTGAGGTAAGTAGACGGTGGACAGTTTCTCCAGGTGTATCATTTGCACCGATACGGGCATACAAACAAAAAGTGCTACAAAAGCAAACGTCAGCACGGCACCAATATTGTTAGATAGCACCATTTTCATGTAGGTATCAGTCTTCAGGTTGATTACGAGCTGATGTGATATCTTGACAGATACAGGAGTCTTTTATACTAAGCTGTAGTTGAAGGGTTCACAAATTGCCGGATTTGCTTCAGGCTGTTTATAATTAATTGTATTTTACCTTGTCGTACGTAAACAAGATATGTAATAAATCATTGCTGTAAGAACTAATTACGACGTTAGCTTGTTCTGAGACCCAGCATAACCTTGACTTTTTAAATAGTGTTGTAATCTTCTTGTTTGGTTAATTTGAACTTTAATTTATTTTTTCTGCACTGAGAAATTTAATTTATAAGTCAGAATATTAAGCTGCCTGTTTGTTGTGGATCATGTGATCAGATTGGGACATGTCTGTGTTACTAATACAGTATAACTAGATTACGCACCAGTAACCTAGGTTTTATACATGAAATAAATTAATTCATTAAAATTATTCTGATTTTGTAAAACCAGTTCATGCTGAATGTGAACTAAAAAAGACATTTTTGCAGTGATAGATGAACTTCAATAAGCAACGACTGGTCATGTTAACATTTTATTAACTGTCTCTGGTTTTAATTATTCATAATTTATATTCTTATGTCTGCTAAGCAAATATGACTCGAGACGTTAAGTGGTTTTTTTTTGCTTCCATACGTCAACTCGTGTGTACGTCACACCGTGCATACGTTCGTTCGTTACTTAAGATGACGTGGTAACAGATATCGATGACCAGGTCCAAGCTGAGCTAATACCAACATGCTATGAATTCCACCACAATGCTAGACTCGGCAAACGTGGTGGTGGGATGGCTGTTCTGTTTAAGAAAGGCCTAAGTGTGAGACATCTCTCTTCCAAATATGATGATGTATACAAACACTTTGAGCACATGACTTGTTCTGTCATTGCTGGTGATAAACAATTTAGATTGTGTATCATTTACAGGCCTCCTCCATCTAAACAGAATGCTTTCCGAAATACAGTGTTTTTTATGAATGGTCTACGTTCTTAGACCACCAAGTTGTTATACCACAAGAGATTATTATCACGGGTGATCTAAATTTCCACTTAGACGATCTATCTAATGTTGATGCTCGCCAGTTCTCTAGTCTACTAGATTCAAGGAGTATGATTCAGCATGTGACAGAAGCTACACACACCCATGGACACACACTGGATGTGGTCATTACAAGGGAAGATAACTCAGTCATCCATGGAGCTATTTCAGTGATTGATCCATGTCTAAGTGATGTAAAAAGGAACCAATGCGGTGATCATCTTGCTGTCCACACAACACTGAATTGTAGTAAGCCAGCTCGTGTAAGGAAAGAAGCGAAATTCCGCGAAATTTCAATACCCGATTTCAACAATGACATTCAGTCTTGTTCCGCCCTTCAATCTACTGAAGGCGAGGTTGATGCTCTTGTTGAAGCATACGCATCTGGTATAGAAGCCCTTATCGAGAAACACGCACCTCTGCAAACTAAGGTGATAACTGCGAGACCAAATGCACCGTGGTAATATGAAAATCTCCGCGTAGAAAAACAGAACCGTAGAAAAGCAGAGAGACAGTGGCGACGGACAAAATTAACCGTTCACCAACAGATTTATAGGAAGCAATGTCACCTAGTTGGTTCACTACTCTTTCAGTCAAAGAAGGCTTATTATTCGGAAATAATCGTAGAATGCGGTAAGGATAATAGAAAGCTTTTTAGACTCACCAAAAACCTAACGGGACAGAAAGGTGAAATTATTCTACCAAGCTGTAATTCTGAAAAAGATTTAGCAAGCAAGTTCAGTGATTACTTTCTGAATAAAATCAGCTCAATCAGGAAAAATAATGCCGAAGTGAACACCTCTGCTGACATTGACATCTCTGTCATGACTGCTTACATTGCATTTGATGGGGAACCATTGGCAAATCTCTCACCAACAACCCAGGACGAGTTGCGCAACATTATCAGGACCTCGCAATCGAAGTCCTGTGAGCTTGATCCACTGCCTAAAGACCTATTAAAGCAATGTCTTGAAGCACTGCTCCCTTTGATTACCTCAATCATGAACAAATCATTGGCTGAGTCAAAGGTTTCATTATGTTTCAAGAAGGCAAATGTCAGACCATTGTTAAAGAAGCCTGGAATGGACAAGGAGGAGTTGAAAAATTACCGCCCAGTTTCAAATTTGCCTTTTCTGTCTAAGAGCTTGGAGAAGGTTGTGTTCCGGCGTTTAGAGGTTCATCTCCATGCAAACAGTCTCCAGGACAACATACAAACGGTCTACCGCATGGGACACTGGCCTTCCCTCCTACGTGTACATAATGATATAGCTTCTGCATTGGATAACAAGTGCAGAGCGGTGCTTGTCATGCTGGACTTGTCAGCTGCATTTGACGTCATCGACCATGGCATACTTTATAAACGTCTGGAATACTCTTATGGAGTGACTGATACCGCACTATGCTGGATACAGTCTTACCTCACATGACAAAGTGCTAGATTTCGGGGTTCCTCAAGGGTCGGTGTTAGGACCATGAAAATATTGTATGTACTCCAAACCGATTGGAGAGATTTGTCTTCGCCATAGCCTTCGCTATCATTGCTATGCCGATGACACACAAATGTGCTTGGTCATCAAACCACAGGACAGTTGGAATACAGTCTCAGAAAGTCTGGAAGCTTGTCTGACAGATATCAGTATCTGGATGAACGCCAACGTGCTTAAGCTTAATCAAGAAAAGACGGAACTAATCGTCTTTTCCCCAAAGTGTCAGCAAACAATGGCTCTCCAGCTCAAGGTCGATGTCAGAACTATTAAGACTGTTCCAGCTGTTAAAAACCTAGGGGTATACTTTGATAGTTCACTGAACATGGAGAAACAGTTGAACGCTATTGCCAAATCCTGTTACTACCAGATCAGGAACATCGGCTGTATTCGGCAGTTTTTAACTGCAGATGCATGCAAGATTTTGGTGCATTCACTTGTTACCTCTCGGTTGGATTATGGTAAAGCCCTGCTCTGTGGTATATCTGATAAACTAACTTGTCGTCTACAGCGGGTCCAGACCACTGCAGCACGGCTAGTTACTCATACTCGAAAGAGAGAGAGCGCAGCACACCTGTGCTTTATTCGTTGCACTGGTTACTTATACGAAACAGGTCGCAGTACAAAATTCTGGTGTACACATACAAGGCACTGAATGTAACAGCTCCTCAGTACCTACAGGAGCTTGTTACTCTGTATCAGCCGTCACGATCACTGCGGTCGGAGTCAGAATCTTTGTTGTGTGTCCCAAAATCTCGTACTGTGACCTACGGAAACAGATGCTTTGGGAGGGTTTCGGCTACGTTGTGGAATAGCTTACCATCTGCTATTAGAAAGTCAAATACCCTGGCCAAGTTCAAGAGGGACATCAAAACTCACCTCTTCACGTCTGCATTTTGGAATCCTTGCAAAGACGTCATGTAAATACCACCCTTTTATTTGTTCAATTATGTGCACATTGCTTGTTTAAATGAGATTGTAATCCATTTTTTTCACAATTATTACCATTACTATTATTCATATGTTGTAAAGCGCTTTAGAGTAATTTTACAAACTATATAGGGCGCTATATAAATGTTGTATATTATTATTATTATTATCATTTTACTATATAAAATATCTGTGTTTTTAAAGACCACACACAAGTGCAATGAACAAGTAAATATGTATTGTCATGTTAAATTTCGTGTTCTGCCCGATGTATCATCAATATGCAATTCCTTTTTGAAAATAGTTTATATTTCCACAGTCTGCTAGTATACCATCTTTTGCTAAATAATTAAAATTAACATGGTAGACTCTGCTAGTATTTTTTAGAGACCCCAAGGTTTGTCCTAATATTGATTATCTCTTTTATGTAGTGGCATGGTTCAAGATATACATACTTTACTCATCTGTGATTTGAAACTAACTGCTGATTTCTATATTTGGAATTCATATCATTCAGATTTGTTATACATCTCTCCTGATGTTTCAACAGTAGGTTATTAGACCTATTAAGATTTCCACCATTTAGGACCTTAGCATCGCCGTTGAATAATAGAAAGACGAAACAGCTTCACGGTGTAGCGTAATTCAATTTTGGAGTATTTGGTATACCGTTTCTATTACCAAACGTAATAGGCTTGCCTTACTTCCGTCGTTTTAGTTAATATTTCAACCTGGAATGAAAAGAAATGTCAATAAAGAATCACGTGATATCTGGAAAAACCGCTTAAAGATATATATAGGATCTTACATGAGTTTCTATTTCATATGAAATTCATGAAACGAGTCTAAGAATTTTCAAATTAAAATTCGTGACGAGTGTCATAAATTTACTATGAAATGAAAACGAGTGTAAGATCCTTTTTATCACAGAGTCAAGATTTGTGCATTTATTCGTGTAAAAACGACAATTTTCATGCAACCTTGAAATGTAAAGAGCCGCCATTTTGACTCCAGTGCGTGAGTCTGTGACGTCATGTTCTTGTCCTAGCGTGACGTCACAATTGAAACAATTGAAACTTACAACCAATCACAGGGCTGATAGGTCATATTGCATGGGTTAATACGCAAAAGAGTATGGCATGGGTATATTCACTCGATAACACAGTACATTATGTGATAAATAGGATTATGATGGTAAGAAATGGTAAGACCCTAACATTCAGGGCATTATCTGAATACGCCGGGGCTGCTCGATATTCTACAGTCACTCGCATATTATGACCCTCCTCATTGAAAGGCGATACCAACCTTGACTTATCATCCACTGATGTTGTCTCAAACAACAGTTTAATTCTACTTTGTGTGTAGCTAATATTGTACTGACTTGTTGCTCAACTCTCGTGTCATCATTGGACAACAAACTTATGGTGGATTGATCGTGTTTATTCCGGCATGAACACAGCTTTGAAAATTCATTTCTAAAACAGTAAAAAGTAACCTGCGGTACTTTTAGGAAAGTACATAAAGATAAATTGGAAACTGTAGAATGAAACGGCAGTTTTCTGAGTATAAAATTCATCAAGGCTAGACCCGGATTCGAATCCCGGACTTCAGATTGCTATACCATTGCTCTAACCGACTGATCTGTCTGGTCAACGGAAGTGTCCCCGACCACCTACTCTACAGATATATCCAAAATGAAATTAAGGGGAGGTAACCGTATTAAAAAGCAAATACTATATAATAAATGATAATAATGATAATATAGCAACCTATATCATTTTTAAAATTACTCTAAAGCGCTTTACAACATATGGTTAATAGTATTAGCAATAATTGTGAAACAAAAATGGCTTACCATCACCATTATACATTAAGCAAGAAGATAAGCATCTCAATGTGTACATAAATGAATAAATAACGGGTGGTATTTACATGACGTTTGTGCAAAAAGTCTAAAATGCAGTTGGCTAGGGATTCTTAAGATCGTAGGTTTATACAGTAGAATGCAACAGCATTGACTGACAGGCCTATTAATAAAATAAAATATTCTCACCATGTTTAATTTGATTGTTTCCATAATAAATGGTATTGTTTTAAGAACTCTTTTGTCATCAAATTGCTACATGTACTATTTGTGACGCATTTTTATACTTAGTGTGTTTGGCTGCAGAACGTGACAAAATGGGCTTACCCAATAGTTAATTTAATCAATTAATGTGATTGATTTATGTTAGATTCCTCATACATGCATCTTTGGATGTAAGTCGCGTGCTAGTCTGGGTCAGTAATGTGTCAGGTAACAGAAACCTAAAGGGTACATGTAGTATATAATATTAATCATAGACACATATGTATGTACCAAATGTTTATGATGACAGGTTTATAGGTATAAGGACAGATAATGGATGCAGGCAATGATGTTACATATGTACTGTAAAACGTATTTAACGGGGTGCCTACCATATTCAGAGAGTCGGGAATTGGCCATTAGGGGGACAGGTCAGTTTGGACCCAGGTTCAGAGAGACAGAGTATGGGGAGTGTGTCCATGGTTTGAACAAAGGCCTAGTTACTTAGCTCGAAGTCAGAGACACAACGTGAAGTATTACTGTACATAGATGAGATGTTGTAACCACCTGTACATGTACCTGTAATGAGATTGTTGATGAACGTCTATGAATAACATTACTAGTATCAACTGTAACGTGTGCTTACGGCTGCTGTGTTACAAGAAGACCTGTGACAAACATGTGCTAATAAGTGTTTAGATTTATGTGAATTATTAAACTCTAGAATTGTGTAAGTTTCCTTTTTCTTTTATTCATCTGGATTTTCCACGAATTAGCCTGAATGAAATATAACCTCCCTGTGACAGGGTTAATAGTCGTTAACAAACGATTAAGTTGTTATGATGCAACTGCTATTACTTATTACATTGTTTATTCCTCTCTGTACCTAAGATACGACACTTAAGACATAACATTTAATTGATTAAAGGACGTGCACTGCGGTGAGCTGTTGGACGTGTCTGCCGTGAAATACTTTCTTAACACAATTGATGCCTAAAGGACGATTTGTGACAATTTGTCAGGCGCTGCAAGTTGTAATGTCAACCCGAGAACAAAAAGAAATAAATAGGAATTTTGTTTTTCGTCCCATTAGATACAGTGGATTTAGAAGCGTTTGTACTGCCTATCTTTCTTATATCCACAAACACCAGCCATGCATGTTTGTGAAACAGTCATAAAACGCATAAAAGTAACAATGTTATAAGATGTCAATAGGACCAAAAAAAAATAATTTAGCAGTTTTCATCCCAATCATAGGCCTATATTCCTACATAATATACATTCAACAAAGTGACATGATTACATCATTTTAGATAAAAACAACGAAAACCCCGTTTCATATTTCCTTCCTAAAACAGAAATCCCACTTTACCTATCAACCGTATCATTACACGTGCTTATTAGAAATAGGATTTTACGTTGCTCTGAATGCTGGTGTAACTAACTTATATTTCTCCCAGATCATATCGCCCTTTAATCCACTGAAATCGATATTCGAATAGTATTTTTAAACTATCCCTTTGTTTGATATGAATATCTGAAGTGAAGAAATATATAAGAAGATTCCAATAAGTTATTGACTAATAAAAACTGCCTATAAGACACAAATTGGACAGTTTTTGTTAAAGCGGCTCATGCAGAATACTCTGTAGTGTCGTATGCCTTGAATTAAGGAGGGTACGTACAATAGAGATGTTTGATAAATTCTTACTTTTCAAGTTGGTCTGAACTACTGTCGAAACAGATGGGGATAGCTTACTTTAAAAACCCGTAAAGACATGACAAGGTCTACATATCTAAAAGTGACATGGAAGGCCTTACTAGACTTTTGTGACATGGAAGGCCTTACTAGACTTTTGTGACATGGAAGGCCTTACTAGACTTTTGTGACATGGAAGGCCTTACTAGACTTTTGTTACCAGTCCTGATAAGCAAATATGTCTCGTCTGAAATTAAGCAACTTTCCAATATTTCATTTTTTTTAGTTCTTTAAAAAAAGATCCCGTTTTTATATGACCTAAGCTGTGTCAAGAAGGTAAAATATTAAAACAAAAAAACAAACTTTGAAAAATCACACTTATTTCAAGCTTGTAAAATTCTGTAGGCGTTACCTATATTGTATGTAGATAATTATCAAGCTATTGTATCACGATAGACCTATGACCCTCTTGCTTCTCGTTTGACATGTGTGTCTATGGGTCACGACCAATAGATAACCTTATCTTGTACATTGACGGAATAATGACCACTATGATTCGCATTACAATGATTTTCTTCTCCATTGGAGGTGAGCTAATTAACTCAGATGATTATATGTGACGTAAGATTTGGTCCTTGTGTATTGACCTTTTAGCATAGTGTACTCTTTACCTTGAAATAGCAGGAGTGTAGCTTGTCATCTTGCTGTTTCTAGCTGTTTCTATCATACAGTATGCTAGAATTATTTCGCAGTGTTAAAACAATATGTAATTTACGAAATCATGTTACAGTTATAGTAGATTGTTCACTCACAATACTATGGTACTGTTATGATGCTACTAAAGGGTATGCATTAATATAAAACTTTGATTAAACGTTTTACTTATAACAGCCAGTATCACATGCATCTATATGTTTTTTAAATTGCGATGTTTATCACAGGCATATATATTTGTTTAAATTACGATGTTTAACTCTCTCAGCAGAGACAAGAAATAAAGACTACCAGGGATGATTGGCCGTTGGTTCAGCCCCATACAATAACGTGTCCATAACCTAGGAGAGGTTTCATGCTTCACAACCTTCTCACGTGCTTTTATACAATTAACACTAACATGTGAATATTAACTTCACTATGAATTATTAATGTGATTAGATATATAACAATAGCCCTTATAGTTTTATCCAAAAACAATATTCTGATCGAACAAGTGTTTGATATGCTTCGGAATAGAATCATAGACTTACTTAGCAAGTGAAACAAAGCCATTTTCCTAATGTTGGTAGCATTTGTTTAATAAAGAATGTTGCTTTCGTTATACAGTAATTCCATAGAGTCGTTTTACGAAACATCACACCAGTAAATAAGGATAGATATACACTCACTCTGATAGCAAAATAAGCTTGGTTGAACAAGTGTGTGTAAACTAATAGTTTTATACTGTAATCTTCACACTAACAAACCCTTTGTCCCACCCAAACAGAAATATTGATTATACATTCTCTAAAGTAGCTATTGCCAATTATGTATATGATGTAATTGTATCATAAATCTCATATATTATTTAGGTTATTTGTTATGTTTATCAGATTTGTTATGATTAAAAGATATCTTTTTATATCATTATATGATATCATGAGATATCATACAGTGTGTCATTCTCTACACTCTAGAGGCTGCGCTCACTTACGCTCTCCGCACCCCTGGAATATGTCATAGCAAAATTGAAACCACACGACAAGTTATTGTATTGGTCTTACAAAACAAGGAGCACAGAAGAGCGACAACCGACCTAACAGTCCGTCAAGTGAATGGTTACTCTACCGCAGTTTTTTTTGATGTACATCAAAGTATCAAACTAGTCTTCTCGTCCCATTTACAAGGAGTCGTCTATTTTACTATGTGTTCGAGGGGTGCAGAGAGTGAAAGTAACCGTTGCCCCTAGAGTATCGATAGTGGTAGTGCATAAATACATAAGTATATAAGATATCATATCTTTCATGATATATTTTATATATCAACGTATATAGAATGTTTCAAAATTTATAAGATATTATTTCAATGATATCATATCTTACAGCAAGCATAAATGAAGATAATCCAAATGGTTTTCTGTATCAGATTTCTATAAAATAACCGTTACACCGATATTGTTAAATCGTTCCAGCTGTCCTTGGACAGACTCACCATGGTCATGGTCATGAGCACAATGTGGTCAGTCCCAGTCACGTGACTTCAACTAACGAGAAGACGACACAAAACCCTGACGACATCCTCTGTCCGTACTTTTTGTCACTAGATTGTGATGCCCAGATCAGCGATCCGAATTATCGAGTTTGCGGATCGGACGGTATAACATATGTTAACAAGTAAGTCTACAGGCTTGAATAAAAACTACCAATATATGAAACAAAGTAATTTATATATAGAACTGTCGAGCAATCATTTTTATCCAAATCCATCTAAACGCCGACATGAAAGTCGTTCCATGTTTAATGTTCAATCAGTACAAGATACAAGAATATGTATTTATCGTCGTAAATACTTTGATACTAGCATTAACACTGTAGAAATACTATTACGACCAAAGAGAATTTCTGTAAAACCACATCATATCTCACCGTATTTCATGATTTTCAGTTAGCTATAATTTATTTGGAAAAATACTGAAAAATTCTTTATTAAACTTAGTTTCTAGATTAGATATATACAAGAAAAAAATGTATAGATTTTGACAGATTATCAAATGCCAGATACATACTTTTATTTAATGAACTCTCAGGAACTTGAAATAATGTCAACTATCTTTATTCTTCACAGCTGTCGTTTTCTCCAAAAGTCTTGTCAATTCGACAGTTTGGAAGTAGTTCACCAGGGGGCATGTAACTCCAGTAGTACCACCCCTGTTACGGATATGACCAGCACCATCCCCTTGAGTACCACAATGAAAGCCCTAACGGCTGGCGTAAGTACTGTGACACCTTCACATGGGCCAATCGGAAGTTCCACTCAATCCGCTTTGCCAGGTGAAACAACTGTTGCCATAACAACAATCCCGTCAATCGCTCAGATCGTCCAATCTGTTTTCTGTGACAACAAAGATAGTATCAAGTGCGACTACCCGCCAAACTTGAAATGTGGATCAAATGGAGTGACCTACCCAAATGAGTGAGTGAAAGAGTATTTATTTACAATTGAAACGTCCGTGGGAGTTGCTCCCATTACATCACTATTTCTGTAACTACTTCCACTATTTTTTCCATATAGTTTATGTGTGTTTGAAATTCTGGCTAGGAACGGACTAATAAAGGCATAGCCTGTTGTCCAATCCTTTTCATTTTTCAATTCAAGGTATTGAAATGAACGAGTAAGAAAATAGACCATAAAGTTACGTACCAAATCAGTGAGTATAAAATACGTACTCAATCAGTGAGTATAAAACACGTACTCAATCAGTGAGTATAAAACACGTACTCAATCAGTGAGTATAAAACACGTACTCAATCAGTGAGTATAAAACACGTACTCAATCAGTGAGTATAAAACACGTACTCAATCAGTGAGTATAAAACACGTACTCAATCAGTGAGTATAAAACACGTACTCAATCAGTGAGTATAAAACACGTACTCAATCAGTGAGTATAAAACACGTACTCAATCAGTGAGTATAAAACACGTACTCAATCAGTGAGTGCAGAAAAAGTACTCCGTCAGTGAGTGTAAAATTCTTACTCAATCAATAAGAACTAACACATTCTTAAACAGTGAGCATGGAACATGTACTCAACCAGTAAGAACAGAACAAGTACTTAATCAGCAAATACAGAACACGTACTCATTCTGTGAGTACAGAACACGTACTAATAGAACACGTACTTATAGAACACGTACTCAATCAGAACATTGTATATACAGAACACGTACTTAATCTGCGTGTACAGAACACGTACTTAACCTGTGTGTACAGAACACGTACTTAATCTGTGTGTACATAACACGTACTCAATCTGTGTGTACAGAACACGTACTTAATCTGAGTGTACAGAACACGTACTTAATCTGTGTGTACAGAACACGTACTAATAGAACACGTACTTATAGAACACGTACTCAATCTGTATATACAGAACACGTACTTAATCTGTGTGTACAGAACACGTACTTAACCTGTGTGTACAGAACACGTACTTAATCTGCGTGTACAGAACACGTACTTAATCTGTGTGTAAAGAACACGTACTTAATCTGTGTGTACAGAACCCGTACCCATAGAACACGTACTAAATCTGTGTGTCCAGAACACGTACTTAATCTGTGTGTACAGAACTCGTACTTAATCTGTGTGTACAGAACACGTACTAATAGAACACGTACTTATAGAACACGTACTCAATCTGTATATACAGAACACGTACTTAATCTGTGTGTACCGAACACGTACTTAATCTGTGTGTACAGAACGCGTACTTAATCTGTGTGTACAGAACACGTTCTTAATCTGTGTGTACAGAACACGTACTTAACCTGTGTGTACAGAACACGTACTTAATCTGCGTGTACAGAACACGTACTTAATCTGTGTGCACAGAACACGTACTTAATCTGTGTGTACACAACACGTACTCAATCTGTGTGTACAGAACACGTACCTAATCTGAGTGTACAGAACACGTACTTAATCTGTGTGCACAGAACACGTACTTAATCTGTGTGTACATAACACGTACTCAATCTGTGTGTACAGAACACGTACCTAATCTGTGTGTACAGAACACGTACTTAACCTGTGTGTACAGAACACGTACTTAATCTGAGTGTACAGAACCCGTACTTAATCTGTGTGTACAGAACACGTACTAATAGAACACGTACTTATAGAACACGTACTCAATCAGAACATTGTATATACAGAACACGTACTTAATCTGTGTGTACCGAACACGTACTTAATCTGTGTGTACAGAGCACGTACTTAATCTGTGTGTACAGAACACGGACTTAATCTGTGTGTACAGAACACGTCCTTAATCTGTGTGTACAGAACACGTACTTAACCTGTGTGTACAGAACACGTACTCATTCTGTGAGTACAGAACACGTACTAATAGAACACGTACTTATAGAACACGTACTCAATCTGTATATACAGAACACGTACTTAATCTGTGTGTACAGAACACGTACTAAATCTGTGTGTACAGAACACGTACCCATAGAACACGTACTGAATCAGCAAACACAGGACACGTATTCTATCAGTAAGTACTGAATACATTTTCCGTAAGCTAATACAGAACACGTTATCCATCAGCGAATACATAACGCCTACTCCATCAGCGAATACGTAACGCCTACTCCATCAGCGAATACATAACGCCTACTCCATCAGCGAGTACAGAACACGTTCTCCATCGACGAATACGGAACACGTACTCCATCAGCGAGTACAGAACACGTACATATACTCCATCAGTGAGTACAGAACACGTACATGTACTCCATCAGCGAGTACTGCACACATACATGTACTCCATCAGCGAGTACAGAACTCGTACATGTACTCCATCAGCGAGTACAGAACTCGTACATGTACTCCATCAGCGAGTACTGCACACGTACATGTATTCCATCAGCGAGTACTGCACACGTTACCTTTCCTATCAATGGAACTAATTCTAACCGAGAAACTGTCTTAGTTTTATGTTTGCGAATAACGTGGTTGCTTATCTTTTATACAGGTAATATATAAATAATTCAGAATCTCACGAATACCGATGTTAGTTCATATGTCTCAAATTAAAGGAGAATTTTATTATCTGAAAGTACCTTATAGAAAACTTATTTCGTTCAGAATTTTGATCATAGTTTAATTACTGATTGTGTACCAACTACCCCAAATACAAATGGATATCTTTTAAAAGAATAGAAATTTAGGAATCCTTGTATTTTTTCTCAAAATGCATGCCGTGCTTTAGAATAATAACTTTTGTTACAGATGCGAGTTTTACAAGGCCGTTTGTGATGATTCCTCTTTAGTGCCAGCTGACCCATCTAGGTGTGGGACACACTCTCGTCGTTCCCGGTAATTTGTATTTTCTGTCAAAATAATTAAAATAGATGGTAACAAAGAAAAACCACGCTTTGCATTTCTTGTTTTTCATACTATTTTTGAAACCTTGCAAAAATCTATCTAAATGATATGATTCAGTTTTTTCTTGCCGAATCAGTCAACAGTCAAAACTATTTTCCCGAGGAGTTAGGACTCACCAGAAGGAATGTTTACCAACAGCAGTCCTGCCGAAATTTTAAAGAGAGTGATGTCTAATAGGGCTATATTAGTTGTTATTTATCCGATGGCACGGTGGTCTTCCCCGTGGGGTTTCCTTCGTCACGAAAACAACAGTTGTTCCCTAAGTGGCGTCGTAATAAAAGCTCTACAGAGCTGATGTTTTATGTTGACAATGTACACGACTTTATATGAAAATGATTTATTTATTTACGTAGAGAACTTGAAACATATTATGAACAATGTTGAGAGAATTCTCCTCAAACATGTGTCTTATATCAGAATACAGCTGTATATGGCTTTTAACTACCATACCTCATATAAATGTGACACTGAATTAACGAATTCCTTCTATTATTATGAAACCTATCTTTTTATGAACTGGCCATTTGGCGATATAAGTATATGGTTGATATATAGGAGCATATTTTGTAAAATAAAAAAAAAAACAGAACAAAGGCTAAATGAACTATATTGAGATTAACATTGTTAAATTGATTAATTACTTTGTTGAGAATATATTTGTTAAGTTTAATGGCAAATTGTCTAGAAGACTGTAGGCATTACAAAGTGAACAAGTCCTTCTTCTGACCATTTGTTTTGTTTGTTTTTATATGAGGTTGATTTTATTTACGAGTTTATCATGACTGGTAACAAAAACCTTAGAAAGTCCTTCAGTTTCAATTTTAGATATATTGACGATGTGATGTCTTTAACAATTATACTTCGTTGTTCGTATATCTTCATGAACTTAAAATCAATTACATTACATATTTCTATAGTGATATGTTAAATCCATGCTGTGCTAAAAAGGGGGGTCCAGAGGGAATCGCTGCTAGCGCAAGACAAACAGGAACACATTTTTCAAAATATATTTAAAGCTACCTTCCCCATTTGCGTAAAAGCTGTTACATGTATCACAAATACACAAATATATTGCTTCGCCTAGCTATTTTACCGCTATATGGTAATTAATACAGTTTTCATTTTGGCTTATTAAACGTGCAAGGCATTACTTATGTTGAAACGACTGGATGTCATAATGACATCCGGTTGTGCAGGCATGTCTAAGATAACATTCGTTCACCAATAAACAATAGATGATTTTTTTTGGTCCGAAATAACGGAATCAGACCATTTGTATTTTCTGAACAAACACCCAGACATTATGAACCAGACAATACGCAGGTATCCATGTAGTTTCCCTTGTACCTATAAAGACTTGACAATAACAGGATCTCACAGGAACAATACAACTTAACTGGTTACTAGATAGAATAAGCATGCGTTTCGGGATATAAACTATACTTTGCCGTTAGGAACACTTTGTACCCTATCGTTCTAACTATAAAACAACGTTATCGTATTGTAAGACACCATACAGTGTGTTTACGTTGTAATAAGACAATGCTGATCTGTCACTACTTACATAAGACAAAGATATCCTACAGAAACAGGAATGATTGGAGAAAAACACATTTGTATATCTATGCATATTCCATGGGTCTGCTGCACCGGGACAAACCGCTTATTTGCATCTACTTGCGTTCGTTGGTTAACCTCAGGTTGTTTCCACATAGTAACCGTAACTGGTGATGTAAGGTATGATATCATGACATACTGACGTTATGGACGTTACCAGGACATATTTTTCATTTTAAAAATAGCTTCACCTCCAAAACTCCAAAACATAAAGTACGGACATCATTCCTGTCTCTATACATCCGGGCCTTAAACTTAACAATTGTATAACGTTAATGTCCCAAATGAGATAAAATTTATATCAACGTCCAATCAAATTGTTACAAACTATTTCAGATTAAACGCACTAGTGTAACTTAGAAATGAAATATTTATGAACTTATACTTGACATTAATTTTACTACAACTTGACAGGAATAAAAGAAAAGCAGAACCCGAACCGCAAACCCAAATAGGCATCACATACTAATCATGATATTGTGCTAATTTTCGAGAGAGGGGAGAACTCAAAGAAGAAATAAGTAAGGTAGCGTATACCTTTAACATAGCACTGGAAGATCCCAATGGTTTTGATATACCTTGTATCGAAGTAAAACTCAATTAAGCGCTCTCGGTTACCTGTACCGAAAGCCTACACATACTGTGGAGTACGTCCACATACACTACAAATAGGAGCTAATGGGTCATACCCGACAGTTTATACGGCCTGAGCAAACAGAAAACACGTTCCTTCCGGATATAGCTCTGTTTTCCTGTGATCAGGATTATTACACGAGCGAAGTACATAGTTGTTACTATGGACTTCTTACCGTTATCAATAATATTTAGGTGAATCAGTTGAATGATACATTGAATTTAATCAGGGCAAATAGTTATTTACCTTCATGTAGTTATTTTAACGACACCTCTGCGAAACAAACAGAAAGTAGTGCCGAAGTTGGGCTACTTGAGTACTGAGATAATCAGAAGGTGGGTTACTTGAGTACTGAGATAATCAGAAGGTGGGCTACTTGAGTACTGAGATAATCAGAAGGTATGCTACTTGAATACTGAGATAATCAGAAGGTGGGCTACTTGAGTACTGAGATAACCAGAATGTGGGCTACTTGAGTACTGAGATAATCAGAAGGTGGGCTACTTGAGTACTGAGATTATCAGAAGGTGGGCTACTTTAGTACTGAGATAATCAGAAGGTGGGCTACTTGAGCACTGAGATAACCAGAATGTGGGCTACTCGAGTACTGAGATAATCAGAAGGTGGGCTGGTTGAGTACTGAGATAATCAGAAGGTGGGCTCCTTGAGCACCGAGATAATCAGAAGGTGGGTTACTTGAGTACTCAGATAATCAGAAGGTGGGCTACTTGAGGACTGAGATAATCAGAAGGTGGGCTACTTTAGTACTGAGATAATCAGAAGGTGGGTTACTTGAGCACTGAGATAATCAGAAGGTGGGCTCCTTGAGCACCGAGATAATCAGAAGGTGGGTTACTTGAGTACTGAGATAATCGGAAGGTGGGCTACTTGAGTACTGAGATAGTCAGAAGGTGGGTTACTTGAGCACTGAGATAATCAGAAGGTGGGCTACTTGAGTACTGAGATAATCAGAAGGTGGGCTACTTGAGTACTGAGATAATAAGGTAGGTGAAAAGTTAGAAACTTCGTGTTTTGTGCTTATGAACTTCACACTCATTGGACTGTATTCGGAGAATGTCATTAAAGAGTCCTCGGCTGTGTGTGTTTGTACATCTCTAGTGAAAGTTCATATACTTCACTGATCATGTTTTAAATATATATAATAACGAACAAATAACTGCCAAAACATTGGCAATACAAAGCCTCCTCACATCTGTAGAACGAAGCAGTACAGGTTTCGAGATGGACCATCTAGTTCAAACTGGGAAGAACTTCATTGCATGGACTTGCGCGTATAGCAGACGCCAGGTACTGGCTGAAGAAGTTAGTATGGTGCGCGCTATTCCTGGGATCCCTTGGCATGTGTCTCTATCAAGTGACTCGGCTTTTTCAACAGTTCACCAAGTAAGTGTAAATCACAATGACAATGCCAAGCAAAGTAATAACCACACACTGTCTGACTTTTAACCATACAACATCGATATCTAGCAGTCACAGGTCTTGCAGACCACGTGTCACTGACCCCTCGCCATCAACGAGTCCAAAAGAACGTTGTTTTGATAGGTGTATGAGTAAACTATTCACAATAGTTCAAACTCCAGTGGTTTGCAGACGCGACGGCTCTTTACGGGTTCCGGTTAGACACGACGTCATCAAGCTTATTTCATCAATGTATAGGGCTTAAGTACACCATTGAAGGCTTATAAGAAAATGTTAACTTTTTCCTGGTTCTTAGACGAAACTTTCTTAGCAACAGCATTAAGGCTTGCTTTTTTATCAATTTCATTATTTAGGTTGGTTTTTTTTATAATATTAAAACCGGCCAGGGTCGCATGTGTTTGGATTCCGAAAGTTCACGAATCCTTAAAGATCACGTTGTGTCGCCGCTTGCTCTGCTAGGTTTTAAACCAAATCAGTACCTAAATTTCTTACCTATAATCTTAGCATTATTAAATCAGAGCTACAGTCGTATTGGAACACTGTATATCAAATGTTTGAAATAAATGTCATGTAGATTGAGAAAGGCTTAACAATATTTTCATTTATCTACAAAACCTCGTACTCAACTGAAATTTGTATGAGTTTTCTTGTCCAGGAATCTGAACAGCTATACAATTTAACAGTTGTGAACTATGTGGATCATTGATATATCACACATATTGACATTTTCTTTTAATGATTTGTTCAATTCCAATTTTAAGCAGATCGTTAGAATTGCACGACAGAGACCTTGCCAAGTCCTACAGTATCACTTCAGAGGTATTGGCGGTGTGTTATATTGTAATAACAAAACATGTATTGACCAGACTCGCCTGAAAACAAGGTCACTACAGACTTCTCTACGTCTGCTGTTTATCTCGATGCTTGTTTAAAGCATGGCTAACTATATAACTGTGTTATTAATGCGACAACTTCAACTTTTAGAATAAAATCTATATAATCAATATAATTTATTACCTTGCAACATATTAATGTTGCACAATCTTTCCCCTTGGACATATAATTATATAGATCGTTGTTCATTGCAACCATTACGCTAAAATATGATTGCTATATTGAAGTTTTTGAACATAATTTTCTATTGTATTTTTCGGAGCGCCAATTCATCCATGCGATAACAAGTAAAAAAAACACAATGATTCGCAAACATTTGCATGCGTTAAAACAAGTAAGTTTACAGTATGATGGCTCTGACTCTACTCGAATGGGGACACTTATGAGT